GGGAGTATGTCAGAGGGGGAGACGAACCATGAGAGATGATGGACTCTGAAAAACAAACTGAGGGTTCTAGAGGGTAGGGGGGTGGGGGGATGGGTTAGCCTGGTGATGGGTATTGAGGAGGGCACGTTTTGCATGGTGCACTGGGTGTTATGAACAAACAATGAATCATGGAACACTGCATCAAAAACTAATGATGTAATATATGGTGATTAACATAACAATAAAAAATTAAAAAAAAAATAAAAGAACTTGGCTGAGGGGCATCTGGGTGGCTCAGTCAGTTAAGCGTCCACCTCTTGATTTCGGATCAGGTCACGATCTCAGGGTTGTGAGTCGAGCCCCGCATCTCAAGGCTCTGCGCTGGATGCTGAGCATGGAGCATGGAGCCTGCTTAAGATTCTCTCTCTCCAAAAAAAAAAAAAAAAAAAAAAAAAAGATTCTCTCTCTCCTGGGGCATCTGGGTGGTTCAGCCAGTTAAGCATCTGCCTTTGGCTCAGGTCATGATCCCGGGGTCCTGGGATGGAGCCTGGCATCGGGCACCCTGCTCAGCGGGGAGTCTGCCTCTCCCTCTCCATCTGCCTCTCCCCCAACTCATGCTTTCTCTCTCTCTCTCAAAAATAAATAAAATCTTTAAAAAAAAAGATTCTCTCTCTCCCTCTGCCCCTCCCCCCTTTCAAAAATACATACATACATACATACATAAATAAAAGAACATGGCTGTGATGTGAGAGGGAGGTTTGGATTTCCTTCAGAATGATGGACCAGTTTCCCTGAGCAAACCTTCTGCTGAAGAAGCAACTCAAAATGCTTAGTAAACTACCAAGGAAGTGAAGAATATTCAAGTCAAAAACTAAGGAACAAAAGAGAGGAAAGCAAAGCCGCAAAGCTGGCTTTCACCTTGAGACCATTTGCATACCAGGTGAACTTGAACTTTGGTTTTTCAAAGGCAAGCAGGACAGGGAACAGAAAACAAAGCCCAGGCCTGCCCAAGGTGAGGAGACTAATAAGCAACCATCTGCACAGATCTGTGACCCATAATGGGTAATAACATACTAGGCTGAATGATGGACTAGAAATAATTCACTCCTCCAGGAGATAGGCAAGGAAAATTGCCAGACTTAAACCTTGGCTCTGAGTTAGAATGGGCAAAAATCTTCCCTGAGAATTCACAACCACACGCTGGCTTGCATGATTTAATTTCATTACAAATTCACCCTACCATTGTTGATCTCAAAAACTATACATTATTTAAATGCAAATGGTCCTGGGCTGGTGGTACCTCCTGATAGTACCTGGAAGAAAGAAGAGTAGATCATCTCTAGATGAGTCCAACTTCAACTCAGTCTACAAGGAATTGTCACAGACAAAATTCCAAGAAATATAATCTCTGTTGTCAAAAATCCGAAAACAATTAAATAGGGCCAAGAGAAAAATAACAATTAACTTAGAATATTGTATACAATAGTTTCCCCTATCCACAGGGGATATGTTCCAAGACCCCCAGTGGATGCCTGAAACTGTAGATAGTACCAAACCCTTTATATACTATGTTTTTTCCTATACATACATACATACATACATACCTATGATAAAGTAACTTATAAATTAGGCACAGTAAGGGATTAACAACAATAACAATAAAATAGAGCGATTATAACAATATACTGTAATAAAAGTTTTGTAAATGTGATCTCTCAAAATATCCTATTGTACTGTACTCACCCTTCCCCTTGTGATAATGTGTGATCATAAAATGCTTACAAGAGGCAATGAATGAGGTGAATGATGTAGGCATTGTAATGTAATGTTAGGCTACTATTGACTTTCTGACAATATGTCAGAAGGAGCATCATCTGCTTCTGGACCATGGTCAACCACAGGGAACTAAAAGGAAAGGGAAGCCACAGATAAGGCGGGCTACTGTACTCAAAGAAAATGTCTATGAAAAATAAAGGCTTGAGGTGCCTTGGTGGCTCAGCCGGCTAAGTGTCTGCCTTCAGCACAGATCATGATCCCAGAATCCTGGGATCAAGCCCCGCATCAAGTTCCCTGCTCAGTGGGGAGTCTGCTTCTCCCTCTCCCCCTGCTCATGCTTCTCTCTCTCTTTCTCTCTCTCTCAAATAGATAGGTAAAATCTTAAAAAAAAAAAAAAAAAAAGGCTAGGGCACCTGGGTGGCTCAGTCGGTTAAGTGTCTACCTTCAGCTCAGGTCATGATCCCGGGGTCCTGGAATCGAGTCCCGCATGGGGCTCCCTGCTCAGTGGGGGGCCTGCTTCTCCCTCTCCCTCTGCCTGCCGCTCTGCCTACTTGTGCTCTCTCTCGCGCTGTCAAATAAATAGATAAAATCTAAAAAAATAAAAAAGGCTAAATAAAAAATGTATAAGTTATGTATGAATTCTTGCGTACTTTATTAATTGTCAGATATTTGCTAATAAAAGAGAAACAGATTACATAACTTCCAGATTAAGAGAAGGAAGAAAATAGAATGAGAAAAAAATAACCCATCCAAAATGAGGCAAGAAAAGAAAGGAAAGAAATATTAAGGTAGGATGAATAGAAAGCATAAACAAAATGGTGAAGGGCGCCTGGGTGGCTCAGTTGGTTAAGCGACTGCCTTCGGCTCAGGTCATGATCCTGGAGTCCCGGGATCGAGTCCCGCATCGGGCTCCCTGCTTGGCGGGGAGTCTGCTTCTCCCTCTGACCCTCTTCCCTCTCGTGCTCTCTGTCTCTCATTCTCTCTCTCTCTCAAATAAATAAATAAAATCTTTAAAAAAATGGTGAAAATAAATTCAAATATGTCTGTGATTACAATAAATGTGAATGGGCTAAATAGTCCAATATTCAGATTTCCAGACTGGACAAGAGACAGAGAGAAAAGGAGATTTCTAGAAAGATACACCAGGTCACAGAAGTGTTTGCTGTGTTTTGTTGCTTTAGTAGGAAGGGAGAGATTGCAACTTGGGCTGCGGTAAAGGAGCCAAGAGGAGTTCAGAGATACGGGACGAAGAAGGAATAAGTGGTGGAGCCAGAAGCCGGAGTGGCCAGGGAACACAGAATCAGGATCCAGAGGTGCAGGGAGTAGCCTTGGCCAGAGGCTGGAGGAAGAAGGTCAACCAAGGGAGTTTATAGGCATGAGAGGGCCACCTGGGTGTTCTCAGTCAAACTGCAGTCAGGGCCCTCTGCTGTGAATCAATATGGTCAGGAGGCAGGACGGCATATGATGGTAAATCTGCTGGAAGAGAGTAGGGGGCGTTTGGAGAAGCCACTGTGGAGAATGGGAGTGGTGTGCAGGGACATGGAAAAGCAGAAAGGGATCGCCAACGTGGCACCGGGGCCCAGCCAGGGTTGCAGAACATAAAGCTGAGGTCCTAACAAGCTTTGGTACAGTTTCCTCTGGAAATACTTAGCAGCCCCGGGTGCGAGCAGAAGAGGGGACTTTTGGAGGATGAAGGGGTAGGGAGCGGGGTGGTAGGGGCTGGTAGGTGAACAGGCGGGACAGGGAGGTGAGGGAAGCAGAGGGAGGGCAGCGTAGGAATGGAAGGTAATTGAACGTGATGTGGCTGGTGGCTGAGGATGGGAGGCTGGCCAGAGGAGCTGCCGCGGCCCTTCGAAGCCCGAAGACCCCAGACAGCGTCAGAGACCCGACACCGTCAGCCGTGCGCTGTCTGTGCTCAGTGGTCCCAGGGGATGGTGCTGAGCTCTGGTGTCCTTGAGGAAAACCCTCCTCTGGCTTTTCTCACCCTGTTGTTGCTCCAGAGGCCACTGCATGATTTTAGAGTTGTTCTTTAACCCTCACACTGACCTCGTTCCATCCCAGTGCCTCCTCGGTAAACAGGCCTGGTGCCCTCAGCCTTGATGATTCATACTTCAGTTTCTATCTTAGCACGCCCGATGGCCACACAGGATGGCTCTCCTGGTCATTGGCCTTTTGTCGTGGACCTCTGAGCTTTTGCCTGTCTGGCCCCTTCTTCTCCATGCCCTTCGTGAGGGCCCAACGCGGAGCCTCAGACCACACATCTCTGGTACTGCTCCTGCTGCAACCTCTCTACCACCTGGTCACACTCCCTGCTGTCCCCAGCCACACGGCTGCACACCCATGTCCACGAGAGCCCCTTTCCTTGTGTCACATCCGCCGTCTGGACAGCACACAGGCTCCCTATTGCCCAAAACCAAGCCCATGATATTCTAGATCTGGAGGAGATTTGAGAAATTATTTTAGTCTTATCTCATTTTACAGATGGAAAAATTGAGGCTCAGAGAAGATCAATGACTTGTCCAGGGTAGAACTAAACAGGCAGTCGAGACTTCCACGTGAGGAGAACTTAATAGCCATCCAAGGAGAACTTGGTTAAAAAATAGCGTACAGGAACTGACCATTTACTCTCCTAAAAGCTTTCTATGGATTATTTATTTAATCTTCACAACAACTCCTTTGTAGAGATGAGGAACTGAGGCATACCGAGATTAAATAAACTGCAAAAGGTCACCCAACTAATCTTGGCCCTTGATAGCTCTCCTGGTTTCTCTCTCCCTCTCCCTCTTACACACACACACACACACACACACACACCCCAAATCCTCACTCAGGTTGTTCCCCCTGCTTGGTCAGCCCTCGTTCCCTCTTTTCCATCGGAATTAGGAGAGTCAATGCCCCCTTCTCCTGGGTGAGTACATAGTCTGCCCTCTGTCCACAGATGACTGACCAGGGTTGGGCATCTGAACCCAGGAAAAGCAGTAAGTAGACTGGCTGAGCTATTCAGTTTCTCTCTTGTGGGCATTTTGAACTCAGGAGGCATAGTAACTGAGTTACTTAGATGGTGACAGGAGCTACAGAGCTGAACCTGGAAGCCACTCTGGGCCATGTGGCATCAGGCTGAGTCAGGAGAGGAGAGTGGAGTGGAACCGAGGCAGAGAGAGAGAGAGAGAGAGAGAGAGAGATTACTGAGGTGTGCCTGTGGGTGTGTGCATGTGCACACACGCCCTCCAGACTCACCCACTCAGTCAAATTGTCCTCAACACATTCCCAGCCCAGCGTCTTCTCAGATCCCATGAGATCTAGCTGTATTTCCCACCACCAGTTTCTCTGAGATTCCCACGTCTTCCCAGGAAATCCTCTTTTCACTTCCATCAGTTTGAGTGTACTTGTCCTCATAGCCTGCAAACCTCAGCTAGAATACCAGCTCAAGGAATTGCACCCATCCTTCAGAAGGAGCTCAGGGCCTGACTCCTCCTGGAAGCCTTCCCCTTCCTGGGTGTGTTCCTCTCTCCTTCCCCACACAGACCATAAGCCCCACCACTTCCGTTTTCCTCCCGATGTTCAGTAAGTACATATTGATTGGTCGAACCTTCTAACTTTGGGACACTCATTTCTGATCTTGCTGTCTGAAGCTGGACTATCTTTATTGCTATCATTTTGTGTTCTAGAAAATCCACGCATCCATCCATTGTTTATTTATCCTGGGAACATGCACTGAGTGTCCATGTGCCAGGCACCAGGCTAGGCCTTGGGGATGGTTAAGATGAAGTTCATAGTCCAGGAGGGAAATTCAGAGTCTCCTCACCAAACCAATCACACCAACACAGCCTCTGGTTTCATGATCCCAGACACACACACACACACAAACACACACACACACACACACACAAATACCAGACATGACTATCAGCCCTGTCACTGTGTCACTCACACCCAGACATGGGGTCTGCCTTGTTTTCTCCTCACTGTTCCTCCATTCCCATCCTCACACCGAGTGCCCACCCCGTTTCCTGCCTGGCCCCACACTCACACTGCTCTCTGCTCAGGAAGATGCCCTGGAGTTCTCTACCCTCCACTGTCCTTCCTTTCTGATCATTCTGTGGTCCGGGAATTGACACTATAGTCTAGAGTGTGTGTGTCTTTATGCTATTTTAAGACCCCAGCACTTTGCAAAACCTGGTGGAGAGTACTGCTAAAGCCAAAGAGTGGGGGAGGGGGCTGAGCAACCTGAGCCTGGGGCTGACTGGGTGTCTGCGAGGCCGGTTAGCAGAGCCAGCTGCAGAGACTCGGCTCCAACCTACCGGTTAACTGCTGGTATCCCGGCCACCCCACTGGCCCAGCCCAACTCGGGCTCTACGTTCTCATGCTGTGCCGGCCCTCATCCCTCCCCAGGAGTTGCTTAGGAGTTTGCACACCAGGCAGCATGTAAAATTGTTGTGTTTCTAGAAACACACACACACACACACACACACACACACGCGCAGAGAAGCCTTGAAATTCTTCTTGGAACAGGGCCAGGGATTTATTTATGAAATTCCCAGGGGGTGGGAGAGACAGAAGTCTGGACTTTGCAGACTGAGTGTTGTGCGGCCATCCCATCGACATCACCACCAGCTCTAGTGTGCACTTACTAAATGCCCACCGCATGCCTGGGCCAGCCTGCAGGGAGCTGTGGGGGATGGGAGGCAGGCTCAGGAGCACCATACTCAAGACAGCGGGCATGCTCTCCCCCGTCCTCCCCACGAGAGGAAAAAACAAACATGATATTGACATATTTTGGCCATAGTACCCTGCGCTGCCGCCTCTCTCCCCCTTTCCCACTCCACTTTGGCGTCCATCCTGTCCTGTGGATGGACATCACGGTCCTCTAGAAAAAGGCTTCATGGCCAATTTCTACACAGGTGAGAACCTGGGAGCTGTAGTGTGCTAAATCTTGTACTCCCATCCTTGGAGGTTCGGTATGGAACAGAAATGGGGTTTATACCTAAGCAGGGCAGGGTCTGCTGGAAGCTAGAGAAAACCACTTAGGATGGTTTCCAGGTCATCCCCAAGGATGTCTTGTGGGTGCTTCAGAGGGGAACGGGATAGAGGCAGATAGTCAGGCTGATAGAGCTGGGGAGAGAACCTTAACTCTGCTTCCATTGGAAAAGTGTGTAGATGCTTCCTGCTATAAAACAGGCTTTCAGGTCTCTGCCCCTCATCTAGCCCACTACCTAAGAGGACACTTGGCAGAAGAGGCTTCTGGTGCCTCCCTTGACTCTATAGAGGTAAGAAGGGGTGCACCTAAATGTGTCTTTAGTTTCCCATATATACCCTGTCTTTCAAGGGAAAGGCATAGGATCAATATCTGTGCAATGACTGATCTTATGAAAATGTCATGATTTTACTCAAGAACTTCGAGGTAAGGTCCCAGGTGAAGATATAGAATAGTCCTCCAGAGATAAGATAGAATGAGAATTAAAGACCTCAATGTGAGACCCAAAACCATAAGAGTCCTAAAAGACAGCACAGGTAGGGGTGCCTGGGGGGTTCAGTTGGTTGAATGTCCAACTTTTGGTTTCAGCTCAGGTCATGATCTCAGGATCTTGAGATCAAGCCCCATGTCAGGCTCCACAGTCAGCAGGGAGTCTGCTGGAGACACCCCTGCTCTGCTCTGGCTCTCTCTCTATAAATCAATCAATCGATCAATCTTAAAAAAAACAAAGAGCGCACAGGCAGTAATCTCTCTGACATCAGCTGTAGCAACATTTTTCTAAATATGTCTCCTGAAGCGAGGGAAATAAAAGCAAAAATAAACTATTGGGAGTTCATCAAAATAAAAACCTTCAGCACAGTGAAGGAAACAATCAACAAAACTGAAAGACAACCTATGGAATGGGAGATGTTTGCAAATGACATATCCGATAAGGGGTTAGTATCCATACTGTATAAAGAACTTACACAACTCAACACCCCAAAACCAAATAATCGAATTTAAAAATGGGCTGAAGAGGGGTGCCTGGGTGGCTCAGTCGTTAAGCGGCTGCCTTCGGCTCAGGTCATGATCCCACGGTCCTGGGATCGAGCCCCGCATCGGGCTCCCTGCTCTGCGGAAAGCCTGCTTCTCCTTCTCCCAATCCCCCTGCTTGTGTTCCTTCTCTTGCTGTGTGTCTCTCTCTGTCAAATAAGTAAAAAAAATGTTTTAAAAAAATAAAAGTAAAAGATAAAAATGGGCAAAAGACCTGAACACACATTTCTCTAAAAAGACATACAAATGGCCAACAGACACATGAAAAGACATCACTCATCATCAGGGAAATGCGAATTAAAACCACAATGAGATATCACCTCACACCTCACATGACAGAATGGCTAACATCAAAAACACAAGAAACAACAAGTGTTGGTGAGGATGTGGAGAAAAGGAACCCTCGTGAACTGTTGGTGGGAATGCAAACTGGTGCAGCCTCTGTGGAAGACAGTATGGAGGTTCCTCAAAAAAATTAAAAATAGAACTACCCTATGATCCAGTAATTGCACTACTAGGTATTTACCCAAAGAATACAAAACACTAAATCAAAGGGATACATGCACCCCTATGTTTATTGCAGCATTATTTATAATGGCCAAACTATGGAAGCAGCCCAAGTGTCCATGGACTGATGAATAGATAAAGGAGAGGTGATACACACACACACACACACACACACACACACACACACACACACACACTGGAATATTACTCAGCCATAAAAAAGAATGAAATCTTGCCATTTGCAACAACATGGGTGGAGCTAGAGGGTATAATGCTAAGCAAAATAAGTCAGAGAGACAAATACCATATGATTTCACTCATATGTGGAACTTAAGAAACAAAACAAATGAGCAAAGAAAAACAGAGACAGAGAAAGGGAGAAATCAAGAAACAGTCTTAACCATAGAGAACAAACTGCTGGTTACTAGAGGGGAGGTGGGTGGGGGTTGGTGAAATAGGTGATGGGGATTAAAAGTATACTAATGATGAGCACTGAATGATGTACAGAATAGTTGAATCACTCTATTGTACACCTGAACTTAAGCAAATGTCTTGATTTTACTAATTTTACTAATATACTAATTTTTACTAATATAATACTGTAGGGGGGCCTGGGTGGCTCAGCGTCTGCCTTCGGCTCAGGTCATGATCCCCCGGTCCTGGGATTGAGCCCCGCATCGGGCTCCCTGCTCCGCGGGAAGCCTGCTTCTCCCTCTCCCACTCCCCCTGCTTGTGTTCCCTCTCTCACTGTGTCTCTCTCTGTCAAATAAATAAATAAAATCTTAAAAAAATAAAAACCTAATATAACACTGTATGTTAGCTACACTGGAATAAAAAAAAAAAAACTTTCAAAAGAGATAGAATGACAGAAGACCACTGCACTTACCACAGGGATTGTAGAACTCTTAAAAATCAAAGGCCACATCCAGAAAAGAATTAGATCAGGGTACAGGTAATTAAATACATTAAGTAAAAAATTGACACTGGAAGAACAATAGGGACAGTTTTCCGTTTGGAATGCCAGAACCTTCCCTATCCTAACCTTGGAGCAACTCCAAGGCTCCAAGCTCTGAAGTTTAGGCTCCCCATTCTATGTAGAAAAAAATCCCCCCCCAAAGTCCCAGGGGCCTCCCAGACCTCCGGAAGTTTCTCCCTCCCTTGGGAAGCCCCAGCTTGGTTACACAGAATGAGTTGGGGTGGGGAGATGTGCCTTCCAGCAGCCTCTCCCAGGTGAGGCGAGCAGGTGTGGGCAGGCTCACCTGCCTGGGAAGCCTGTTGTGAGTAGGCGGGCCTATTCCTGGCTGGGGGGAAGACAGCATCAGCCTGCCAGGGCCTGTGTGTACATGTGTGCGTGCATGTGTGTGTGTGTGTGTGTGTGTGTGTGTATGTGTGTTGGGAAAGAGTTGGCACAGTGCTAAAGGCACAGAAACACTCCCTACACACACTCCTAAAGCTATACTAAGCAACCATGACTTGCCTCTTCAGGCTGACGAGCAAGTGTACCTATGGGCAGATAGGAAGTTCCAGATTTACTTCTAGGCACCTCGGTAGAAGAAAGACCGTGGGCTTTGGGTTCAGACAGATCTGAGTTCAAATCCCAGCTCTATTACTTCCTTGCTGTGTGGTTTGGGACCCTTCACTTAACCTCTCTGACCTTTGGGTTCCTCATCTGTAAAATGGGAATAATAATTTTTCTCTTGCAACATTTTGGTGAGGAGAGAAGGAAGCTGCACTTTATCAGTT